TATATATATATATATATATATATATATATATATATATAAATATATATATATATATATATATATATATAATATATATATATATATATATATATATATATATATATATATATATGTATATATATTTATATATATACACCCCCTCCTGTGTATTAAGCACATAAGAGTACGCATTTGTTTTTTGTTTTTTTCTTTTGTTGTAATCACTATTTGTGCAAAGTGAGATTCTTGTTTCTATAACTTTGTCATTTAGTAACTTCCTAATTTCCTAATAATCATTAAAAAAAAAGATGATATCTGTTTAAAATTAAAACAAATTTTATGTATATGTATATATATTAAGGTAAGACATGGCCTACTATAAATACACGTCCGAGTTTGTTTGTTTTACGGAAAAAAATAGGAGGCCAGTTTTATTTGCTGTTTGAAACGATATCTTTAAACAGAAGGCTTTTTTTTTCTTGTTATATATAATGTTTTTTGATTATATATGAATTTTATTATTTAAAAACTTTGGCATAAAAATTTGCCGAATGGTCACACACGAGCAGTGAACGCCTGAGGTAAGAAATGAAGTACATTAGAATAAAGGAGAATTATTTATTAGACAAAGCATATTTTGACAGTTGTTAAGACAAAAATAAAGATTAATTAGAGGAATATTTAAAAATAAAAAAGACAGTCTATACACCCACAACAATAATAAAAATAAAAACAAATTTAAAAAAATAAAAAAAATGTTTTATAAACACCAATATGAACGAAGATATATATCACCAGACAAAAATTTGTAAAACAAAAAACGGATCACAAAATAAAAAATCTGATAACAACAATTAGAGGCATTTAATAATGGAAAAAAAAAGCATTAATGCTAATGTGTAAACATAATTTGTGTATTGATTAAGTAATAAACATCTCCTCAGAGTCGCGTCTATTATTACTGGCGTTTCGATGAGGATCAGCATTTTTAACTAGTTTATCCCGTCAGACAAACGTCATCGCCACTTATGCAAATAAAATTTATAAGAAATAAAACCAAATAGGTCTTATTATCAGATAGCAGTATACCTCATTAGAAAAAAATTTTATATTAACAAAACAACAATAGCCTTAAATAAACTCTAACGCTGTCATAGATACCTCATTCGAATTATGACAACCAATCAAAAGTGTAAGATAATGAGCAGCCCGCGAAACCCATAATCATAACAATAATTGAAAAATATATGATAGCGAAAAAGAACGTTGCACAAAACCCTTAAGAATGTATGCGGCATATATGTAAACATTTAATGAAGGATATAAAAATATTCTCTGAATAATAATAAAGATGAAAAATGCACCTTGTGAAAATTAAAACAAAGCTGAGTAATGAATGAAACAAACAGTAATAATATGAAAATCAAGAGATAAATAATATATCAACAAACACTGTAACAAGACTAACTAAATATTGCAATAAAACCAGATAATTTTAAGCCAAATGAGTGGTTAAAAAACTAGCCGTGGATAATATAAGTCTTTTTTACGGTCCGAACTAAAAGAAACTTTGAGACCATATCTAAAGTAAAATTTCCGAAAAGTAATTATGAGTTTAATTATGAGGAACTTATTAATTTTGATGTTTTAAATAAGATTTTAATTATGTAGCAATATAAATACAATATTTAAATTAGACATATTTATAACACCTTGTTGCTTTTGAGATATGATTATTTTTATTGTGCTTCAAAAATATAAGAAATACTTTTATTTTCATACCTAGAATTCTTAATATAATGCCAAACAAGTGTGCAGTGATATACTGTTGCAGTGGATAAAAAAGTAAATCATCAAATACAAATTTGAATACTCTGAAATTGACTTCAGAATCAACTGTTTATAACAAAGAAAATAGTGTTTTTGCGTTTCCTGATGTTTTTATAAGACCTGAGTTAAGAAAAAAATGGATTAAGTTTGTTAATAGAAAAAATTGGTTTCCTACAGAACATTCAGGTGTTTGTAGTGCACACTTTGATCCAAAGTTTTTAAAGCATGGTGTTAGAATGACTCTAATTTATGATCTTCATCCAATACCAAATATTTATTCAAATAATGTAATGAAAAAAATTCCACCTTCTCTGTTATTATCTATTCCAGGTTTATCAAGAAAATCTCCAACTAGATGCGTCACGAGCATTAAAGATGAATCAGATATTTTTATGGAAAAAGATTCTATCAAAGACCTAGAAATGTTAGATTCATCTTCAAGACCTGTTGGCTTTATTTTTTAAAAATATGACTCCCATGTTTTATATTATTGTATTTTTAATGTGGCATCTATTGATAATACTCCCTGTATTGAATCAATACAAGTTGATTCTCCTTTGCATGTTAAGTTGCATCACAATGGATGTCAAATTCCTCTTCCAAAGTGGTTTAAGCAAAATCAATATTTACTTAAAAATATTAACATATTAGAAAACCTTGCATCATATATGCGTATTTTTGTTGCAGAAAAAAAAAAACATTTTAGATAAAATTCATAGTATCCAATAATATAAACCGAAAGGCAGGAAACCATATTCATCTGAAGTTCTTCGTTTTTTACTATTGCAACGCTTTACTTGAAAGCAAGCATACATTCAATTTCAAGAAAAAATACCTTTACTGTCATTGTCAGTTTTTAAAAAATTAGAAGCTGGAGGAATTGAACCCTTAAAAGGTATTAAGTTACTTTTAGAGAAAGGAAAAGTAGACCCACACTGTATTTTAATGTTGGATGAAATGTATTTACAGAAATGTAGTGAGTATAGTGGCGGTAAACATGTTGATTTGGATAAAAATTGTAACTTTTTCAAAGGTATCCTTGTTTGTATGAGTGTGAGTTTAAAAAAATCTATCCCTTATGTCATAAAGTCTTGTCCACAAACAAAAATAAATGGAGATTTATTTTTGTTTGTGGACAAAAACAGTTTTAATTGATATTAAAGAAAGTTTTTCTATTGAAATTAGCAGGATTTAATGTACGTTCAATAGTTGCAGACAATCATTCTATAAATGTATCAGGATAAGGACAGTTGATTAAATGCTTTGCAACTGGTAAATCTGAAGAAGTAAATAAAATTTACCTTATGTATAATAGTATTCATCATTAAAAAATATTCAAAATAATCTATTTAATTCAGCGATATATATTCCCTGTTTTCCATTTCAATGGACTTTATGATCCTATTTCAGTTACTGCTGGTGAAATATCTTGGCATCTTCTCCATAAAATTTACGAAAAGGATGAAAAACTTATTGCTAATTTACGTAAGACACATGAACTCACATTGCAAACTTTTCATCCAGAAAATGAGAAGCAAAGTGTTCCTCTTGCTTTGAATGTTTTTCATAAAACTACGTCAGCTGCCATTTAAAAAATAAATCTTGCGGAAAATAACTTTTCCGCAAGATTTATCTGCAGCTGAATTTTTACTCCGTGTTTATAGTTGGTGGTTAATATCGAATTCAAAGTCAAAATGAGTGGAGGTCGTTTTCTTGTTGGTTAACGTGAAATTAAATCTTCTGAGAGAATACTAGAATACTTCAAATTAAATCTCTAATGAAAGAAGATATAAATTACTGGGATTTAAATCTTAAACCAGAGATCAGTCTAGATCTATCATGTGAAATCGATTTTGAAAATGATTTTAAAGAGATTGATTTAGACGATGACAGCAAGGAGGTGGCAATCTACATTGCAGGATTTATTATGAAAAAAATCTCTGAAAGGTTTATTTGTTCTGAATGTGAAGTGTTATTAAATCATGAGAAGGTCACCATTTGTGTTGAGTATATAAATTTTCTCTCTAGAGGGGGCTTCAATTACCTGGAAAACATCTTGCATCATATATATCCCATTGCTTTGCTAAAACTAGATTTAGCTCAAGAAATTTTTTTTTTAAATGCTGATAATATCAGATATGCTGCAAGAACGCTCCTAAATCTTGGAAGAGAAGGGATTTTCATGTGTCCTCAGCATTTTAATAATGCTATAACATTTATAAATAATATAATTATAAACATATACTTTAACAACAAGCAAATAATTATCAACGGTGGAAAAAAAAAGACGAGATTGTTGCTTTTAAATCAAAGAAAACAAAAAGAAAGCATTATGATTAATCTATTTGTAGTTGTTAATTTCACAGTATTTTAAAATTTATTGTGATTATGAATGTTTATATTACTTTAAATAAAAAAGAATTTTAAACAGTTGCTTATTTGTTTTAATAATTTTTATTTTTATTATTCCAGCATTTTCTATGAAAACTCGATAATTACAAAAAAAAAAAAAAACTGTCCTCCTAATTTTTTCCCGTAAAAACCAACAAACCCGGCCGTGTATTTATAGTAGGCCATGGGTAAGAAAAGCATACGGCGATAAAGTCTTAAAATAGATAAGGACAAGTGTAATATAAAGAACTTTAAGCCCCTGTTTATCTATAAAACTAACCGTTCACTTTAGCTTATCAAGTCTTTTATTTACTTTAAAAACAGAGCTAATTGTGTGTTGTTTTTAATTAAAATTAGTTTTTTATTAACACTCACTGTTCGCATAAGCATATCTAGTGTTTTATATACTTCAAAAACAGAGCTAACTGTGTGTTGTTTTCAATTAAAATTAGGCTGAAACCTATTCCACTTTAACAGATTGACTTTTTCAAAGTTACTACAAACTAATGTAAACTAACGGCGCTTCGGTTTGTTAGAATTTATGATTCGTCAACTTATTTTAGTAAACTAAAGTATTAGTTAAATAATTATAGTTCAGAAAGTTTGTTCAGTAATTTTAACACACTCATAATAGTTAATATACGAGTTTTGGTTCAACTAAAATTAACTTTATCTTCAAACACAAACATTACATTTAATACTAATGTTAAACCAACGTGAATAATTAATGGATTTAATAATACCAAAAATAAAATATATCAAACAAAACGTTAATTAAATCTAATTAAGAATGAACAACTTACTTGAAGCAGGTAGACACGTTTGTGGTATGTACTATAAAGTATATATATATATATATATATATATATATATATATATATATATATATATATATATATATATATATATATATATATATATATATATATATATATATATATATTTACATATGTATGCATATGTATACATATGTATACATATATATACATAAAACAAATAACATTAACCGTTAAATATTTAAAAAATGTAAAACTTACAATTAGAGTGGTTTGTGATGGTTGAGTTGTTACCAGATTCCTTGCAACAAAAGTTAATTGTACCAAAAAGCTCCATATCTATCAAATAATCATTTTTTTTAACATTTGGCAACTAAATATATTAACGCAGGGTGTTAAATATATTAACGACGACACCAGGGTGCCAGGATGCACTTCCTTCCCCCACCCTTTATTTTTAGGGTAAGGCGGGGTGACTTCGTCATGAAGTAAATTTGTCACTTATGCAACTCAGCTTTAAAATAATAATGCATAAAAATTAAGAAATCTAGTTCCTAGATTTTTTTGAAAGTTTTTTTAAATGATATTGGTAGGATATTATTAAATAAGTGTTTTATATATTTTCTTTTGATTATTCTTTAAATACTGCGAGTAAATATCGAAGTTGAAAAAATATTTTTCTGCTTAAATGCTTATCATCAAAAATTAATCAAAATGCGCGATGTCTTGACCACAAAGTATATTTTTTTTTATAGATCGATGTCAACATTTTTAAAATAAAAATTTAAGTTACTATATGTTTTCTTTTGGAATCTTTACGCAATAATTGTTATCACATACTCAAATGAGGAGCAACTTCGCCGTTTAAGAAAAGATAATACTAAAGATAAATTAGGTCCTTTAATCACCCAACTTTTAAACTGTGGAGCGCCGTTTGAAAGAAAATAAAGTTGTGCTGAAAATGTACTTCAAAGATACTTGTACTTAAAAATGCACTTGACATTTTATCTATAAGATGTTTTTCAGAATATATTAGTTTACAGTAAGTTTTTAAAACTTTTTAAAGTATGAACGCGAATTAAATTATGAACGTGACTCTGATGTAAACACATGTAAAGACACACGTAAACAAGCTTATTATAATGTATAGACTAAAATGTATATATAGCAAATAAAAAGTTTTTAAAGTCTGATTTATAATTGTGATGCAAGCGTCCTTTCAGATGAAGTGGTTTTGTGTTAAGGGCTCTCGTGAGGTACAAAAGTTAACTATTGGTGAATCTGGCACACTAACAACATACCTGGCCACTGTCAATGCAGCAGGGGACAGTTGACCACCATTTTTTATATTTAAAGGAACAAAGATTTCAGATGCATCTATATTTCCTTTGCGTAAAAAAGTACATTGAGTAAAAGCGGATATATTGATTAAGAGATGTTTGTTGACTTTTTTTACATCATTTTAATGATTTTCTTACAAAATTAGATGGGAAAAAAGTACTTTTTTTATATATAATTAATTTTTAAAGCAATTTAATTAGCAATAGAGATGGATATTGAAATAATATGTATTCTACCTTATAGTACACATCACCTTCAACCACTTGACACACATGGTAATAATGTAGTTAAACATATGTGGTCTTTGGCCTTGTTTAATTGCTTAGCTAAAAATGATAATATTTCTATGCCTCGTTGAAACTTTCACATTAATTTTAACAAAATATTGCAACTTTCACGTTATTGTTAACAAAATATGGCCCAACATACTTACAAAAAGACGATTGATTTTTAATGCGTTTTACCATTGCCGTTTGCATTCCCTAAAAAAATACAGTAAAAGACTTCGAATACAAAAAAAAAAATAATAATAACAATCTGCAAGACCCAAATTTATCTGTTTTAAGGACTATTGTATTTTCTCCAAGATTGGCTTAAATATTTATATTCGCATGTTCCGGATGTTTTGGAGTTGAAACATATGGAAAATGTTTGCAAAAGACATATAAACAACTTGTAAATTTTTAAATAGTCATAGCGATATCATTTTTGTCATTGCTTTAACGAGTTATTTTGTGCGCTAGCGCGATCAGACGGTTTTCATTTATGCCAAAATCATTATTTGATATTTTCTAGTTAAAGTTTAACAAATGACATCCTTTTAGATGTTTTAGAAGTTAAGAAACTGACTTTCATTATTTCTATCTTGTCGTTATCTGAGGATAATTTCATCTGTAGCTTTCTGTAGGCTATCAGCAGTTCTATCTACATCACTTAGGGGTTTACTGTTCTAGATTATTGAAATCATCCTACTATTACGCCAAAAATAATGCTTTATATCAAAGTTTTCTTTTCTCCTAGGTAAGCTGTCTTTACCACTAGTAAGTAATTTTGTCTATTGCCCAAGTGACGTATTTTTCAATTAGTTTAATTGTACTTACGAACTCGCCTCGTAACTGACGAATTTGCCCCTCAAGACTTGATGATGAAAAAATCAAGTCCTACGCTAAAGTAACTTTAGAATTTATTTTGATTCAATACATTAACAAAGTATAGATCCTAATTAATAAAAAAATGCTTTTAAACTAGAAAAGCTTACTTAATTATATGCAATCTCATTTTGTTAAAGTAAAATATGACGAACTTGCCCCGCCTTACCCTACTTTAGATTTTATTACTACACTTTAGACTACATTACTACATTAGTCTTCGAGGAGAATTTGTTTGTTGCAAAGATTATCAAGGTTATCAGTTTGAGTGTTCTAAAGATATTTGTTAAAAGATATTTAACAGGGCCGACGATACAGGGGGGCTAGGGGGCATGTGCCCCCTATTCTTCCCCCCCCCCTCCCTCCCAACCACCACCACTTCCTTTTTGAAAAACTTTTTTTTTAGAAAAATCCTAATAAAGAGGATTTTTTGACAAATTGGTAATTTTGCACTCTTTTCCCTCCCCCCCCCCCCCCATTTCAAAACCCGTGTTTAAAAATTAATTTAAGATAATAATTTATGATTTACTAAATTAAGATATTATAATTTAAGATATTATAAGTTAAGATATTATTAGTTAAGATATTATAAGTAAAGATATTATAATTTAAAATATTATAAATTAAGAGGTCTTAACATAAGAGGATTTAAGTTTTAAATTTTTAAATTAAGATGAGACAAGGATTGCAATACCCTTGTATGATACTCCTTGAGTTCAAAAATTAGTCTCTATATATGTTACCTTTAAAATATGTTACCTTTTTGTTATGCTATATATGTTACCTTTAAAATATGTTACCTTTTTGAAATTTCTTTTTATCAAGTTGCGCTTGTCAAATACTTTTTTACTTTTACAAGTAATTTTTTATTTATTTCACCTTATGAAACATTTAAAATTTTAAGCGTTTAAAATTTTAATTGCTGTTTTAAAAGATACTTAATAATAAGCAATCGCGCAAAAATATATTTGCGAAATGCCTGTCTTTACAACTAAAATACAGTGGTTTTCATAAATTTAGACGCACTCATATTTGAGAATAGAAATTTTTAGTTTTTTAACGATAAAACAATGACGAAAAAAGATTTCGGTTAAGTTTTTTTTCTATTTATTAGATAAATACATACAGAATACAAAAATTTAAAAAAAGTTTACAAAAAAAAATGAAATACTAAGTAATAATTAGGTACAACTAAATGGTATTAAAAAAATTAGACAAAAAAAATTATTCATAAATTTAGACGCACGATACATTAGAAGGCGTAATTTATGAACCAATCAATATTTTGTGTATCCGCTTTTTGCTTTAATACAACTAAAAACTCTTCTAGGTATAGACTCAACAAGATTTTTGCGCATTGCTTCTAGGACCCCATACCAGGTCTCCTTAAGGAATTCCTTCAGCTGACCAAGTGTGGAAATTTGAACCTTTGCTAATTCACGGTCAATCCAAGCCCAAATGTTTTCAATCGAGTTCAAATCAGGTGAGTATGGAGGCTACGGTATTGTCATGATATTATTATTGTTGAACCACTCCTTTGTATAGTATACAGTATGTGCAGTGCATCTTGTTGAAGTTTCTATGGTTTATCATTGAGCATAAGCAGGTCAATTGATGGAATTAAGTTGTTTTCCAGTACTTCTACGTATATTCTGGAGTTGATTCTTCCGGTGTATGTTTGGCACATACCAACACCTTTGTAATTGAAGCATGACCAAATTCCTATCGAGCCTTCTCCACTTTGTACAGTCGGTCTAATGTACCTGGCGTAATACTTTTCGTGAGCCATTCTTTTGACTGTTATGTTAGATTTGCGATTGGTAAGCTTAAAGTTACTCTCATCACTTTACATAATGTTTTCCCATTGTTCTATTGTCAAATACCTTCTTTCACGACACCATTTTAGTCTCCTTTGTTTATCATATGGACGCAGAAGCGGTTTCTTCAAAACAGTGTAGACTCCAATCTTGTATTTGATAAGTATTCGGCGGACTATGCTTTGAGAAATAGATGTATTTTGCGTTGTATTGAATTCTGTGGTCAATTCTTTGTAACTAATTCTTGGATTAGCTCTGACAGCTCTAAAACGAACACTGTCGTCCATTCTGGTGGTTGACAAGGGTCTAGCTGGCCTCGTTTTCTCGCTGGCACCACCAGTGTGAAGAAAGTTTTGTTTCGTTGTCCGAACGCATTTCTCAGAAAATCCAATTAACTTGGCAATTTCTCTATTACTTTTGGTTCCTTCTTTGATGTGCGCAATAATTTGCCATCTTTCACCTTGAGTGATACGTCTTTTGCCCATTTTTCGCGTCTTTTTAGTGAAAAACTAACTTAACTTTTGTTTATTTATTAAATAATGATTAACTAATTCCAGGTAAATCATATTTATATAAGGTTTTTTGACAAAACCAATTAATTTAGGCCTATTAATGAGAAATATGGGAAAAACCTACTAATTAACTATCAATTAACAAGATATAAGACTTTTTTGATTGTGCGTCTAAATTTATGAACAAAATAAAATCAAGCTTATCAATTAACTTTTTTGTGTTAATCGGTATAGAATGAGAAATAAACATCCTGTAAAAAAAATGAAGGTACTCTATAATAGAGTTTTACTTCCTCTTTTAAATTATAAATCAAACATAGCGGTAGCACTTTTATTTAATTTTTATTTTGAGTATTTTCTTACATATATGAAGAAAAAAAAATGAATGCGTCTAAATTTATGAAAGCTACTGTAAAAGTAAGAACAAGGAATGTTAATTTAATAAAGAAATTATTTGATTAAGCTAACAACTAAATGTGAGACGACAATCAAATTAGAAAAATATCACTTATTTAAGAGAG